GACCATCCTGGTCAACACGGTGAAACCCCGTCTCTACTAACAATACAAAAAAATTAGCTGGGCATGGTGGCGCGTGCCTGTAATCCCAGCTACTCAGGAGGCTGAAGCAGGAGAATTGCCTGAACCCAGGAGGCGGAGGTTGCGGTGAGCCGAGATCGCGCCATTGCACTCCAGCCTGGGTAATAAGAGCGAAACTCCGTCCCAAAAAAGAAAAATAAATAAAAATAAAATAAAATGGACAAATGATGTGAATAGACACTTCTCAAAAGACATACAAATGGCCAACAAGTATATGAAAAAATTAGTTCAATGATTATTGGGGACATGCAAGTCAAAACCACAATGAGATATCTCACCGAAGAAAGAATGGCTATTACCAAAAAGACAAAAAATAACATGCTGGCAAGGATGTGGAGAAAAGGGAACTCTTAAACACTGTTGGTGAGAATGTAAATTGGTATAGTCATTATGGAAAACAGCATGGAGGTTCCTGCATGGATGGGCGGAGTAGAAGAAAGGCTACCGACTGTTCAAAATCCGGGGTGCGATTACAGGCAGGGACAACACAGGAAACTGTCCAACACACAGGTAAGAGACGTATGACACCTAGGACCAAGTCAAAGAAAGCAAGGCTCCTGCAGAACCCACGGAGACCAGAGGGGGGAAACGAAGCACAGCCAACACGGCGGTGGGACTAGGGGGCTGCCCCGCGCGAGGAGGGGGCCGAGGGCTGGCGGGGACGAGGGCTCACCTTTGTGCTTCCGGAAGCAAGCCACCGAGCAGCTGTAACGAGAGAGGGCCAAGGCCGCGTCAGCTTCGAGGGCCCGCGGCCCCTCCCGCACCCCGCGGGGTCCTGCCCTCCCGCCCTCCCGCTGCGGCCCGACACCCGCACCCCCGGACCCCGTGACCTCCCCACTCACTAGGGCACGCGGCAAGCCGGGCAGCGGTATTTGGGCTTCTCCAAGCAAATCACGCACACAACGCTGCTACAATTGAGCGACGCCATGGTCTCAGGGAAGGAAACTGCTTCCCGCGCAGCCGCGCGCGCGTACCCGCCTCTTTTCCTGTTTCCTAAGCGGGAACCAATCAGCACTCCGCAGGCAGGCAAAAGCAATGGATTGATCCTGCTGACTGTCCCAGTCCTCGTAAGTAGAGCGTCGACACACTCGATGTGCATCAAGTAGCTGCGTCCCAGGTTGTCCTTGATTCGATCACAGCTTCGAAGAACTTATGTAGCCCTGTCTTTATGCGGCCGTGTGGCTTGGAGCAAGTCATCGACACTCCAGGTGTATTGCCCCGCATGTAAAAAACAAACAAAGGCCGAGGAGCTCAGGCCTGTAATCCCAGCACTTTGGGAGTCTGAGGCAGGAAGATCACCTGAGGTCGGGAGTTCGAGACCAGCATGATCAACATGGAGAAACCCTGTCTCTACTAAAAATACAAAATTAGCCGAGCATGGTGGTGCATGCCTGTAATCCCAGCTACTCGGGAGGCTGAGGCAGGAGAATCGTTTCAACCCGGGAGGTGGAGGTTGCAGTGAGCCGAGATGGCACCACTGCACTCCAGCCTGGACAACAAGAGCCAAACTACATCTCGAAGAAAAAAAAAGTCCTTTACTTTACTTTCTGGCTTCGATTTCCTGAATCTTGCAGGGACATTAGGGTTCTTCTGCCCATCTTATCAGCTTATTCTTGGTGAAGGACAAGTCCAGACTCTGGGCAAGTCAGAGTCGGTTGGATCACACAATAGACAGAAACCCGGCCTTCCCAGCCTAGGCCATTTTTCTTTCTTTCTTTTTTCTTTTTTTTTGAGACAGAGTCTCAGTCTGTTGCCAGAATGGAGCGCAGTGGCACTATCTCGGTTCACTGCAACCTCCACCTCCCGGTTTCAAGAGATTCCCCTGCCTCAGCCTCCCAAGTAGCTGGAACTACAGGCGCCTGCCATCACACCCAGCTAATTTTTGGATTTTAGTAGAGACGGGGTTTCACCATGTTGGCCAGGATGGTCTCGATCTCCTGACCTTGTGATCTGCCCACCTCGGCCTCCCAAAGTGCTGGGATTACAGGCGTGAGCCACCGTGCCCGGCCTAGCCTAGGCCATTTTTCAGTTGGGAAGGAAGGATAAGTCTGGCCACTGGCAAGTGTTTATTGAGCTCCAACTGTGAGCCCTTCAATGCTGGGGACCCCCAGGGACTTCTAATGAAGATGTGGTCTCTGTCCTCTGGAAACCTAATGCTTAGAGTGAAAGTAGGATGGGAACAGGGAGGGAAGAGACTAACTCTTAGGGTCCTGCCAGAGCTAGCCTGCACCTGCATGTCCCTGAGAGTGAATGCTCCTTAAATTTTGCACTCTAGGCTTCTCACACCTCCCCGTAGTCCTGGCCTTAGTGGGCTAATTGACTAGGAAGCAGGCCAGTAACCACTGGCCCCAAGACAGGGATCCCAGGCAGATGAGTCGGACAGATTGGCTATGATGGGACTTGAATGCCACCACAAACTTACATTTAGACGAAGTCATGGGTTTGTTTAGCAACTTTGCTTACAGCTGGGCATGGCCCAGCCTTACCTTGGCTCCCATCCCACCTGCACTGGGCCCTTGCACAGCCATAAATTGCCCTCACCCCTAAGCACCTCCTCTTCTGTGTTGGCTGTTCAGCCTTCAGGCCCCCCCTTCAATAAAGGTGTCTACAGGGATAGATCTGCAACAACCAAGGCAGTGGTTGGAAACGGCTCAACCCCCTCCCTGGCTGTGTGACCTGGAGGGGTTGGTTACACCCTCTGAGCTCCCTCATCTATTTAGAGTGGATGTTTGGACTTATTTTCCTGAGCTGTTGTAAAGCAGAGAGGAGACCATGTGCAAAAATTTTGTAATCTGTTGTGCTACATGATATCTAGAAAGAGTGTAACTCTTGGATCTCCATCTGGACCACAAGAACGTAGGTTCCAGGCCCCAAGTCAGGCCCCTCCAAAACAATTCTGCCACCCGCTTCTCGAGTGGGAAGTGAGCAATGATCCTTCCTTTGGGCGTGGCGGCCTGAGGACCCAGTCCAGTCCTCAGGGCTGAAGCTGCTAGGCCCTCTGGCCACATGCCTGTCCTGCTTACAGTGGTCCCAGCTCCCACCTCTGCCCAGGACCCAGCCTAGAATCCAAAACAGGTCCACACAGGCCCAGTAACCCGCAGCATTCCTCATATTGTTCAACAGTTGTACAATAATAATTTGAACTTGAAGCATCCCAGAAGGTCCAAGCTTACCTGGGAAGGCCAGAGAAGGCCAGTGACTTGTCCAGGGTCACACTTAAATCCTCTGCCAAGCCAGGCATGGAGCACCGGCCTGTAGTCCCAGCTACATGGAAGGTTGGGGCTGGAGGCTCACTTGAGCCCTGGAGTTCAGCGCTGCAGTGAGCTATGATTGTGCCACTGCATTCCAGCCTGGGTGACAAAGACAGAGACCCTCAACTTAAAGAAGAAAAATTCACGCCAGGCGCAGTGACTCATGCCTGTGATTCCAGCACTTTGGGAGGCCAAGGCAGGTAGATCACTTGAGGCCAGGAGTTCAAGATCAGCCTGGGCAACATAGCAAAACCCTGTCTCTACTAAAAACAAAAAAAATTAACTGGGTGTGGTGGTGCATGCCTGTAATCCTAGCTACTAGGGAGGCTGAGGCATGAGAATTGCTGGAACTCGAGAGGCAAAGATTGCAGTGAGCCAAGATCATGCCACTGCACTCTAGCCTGGGTGACCAAGCAAGACTCTGTCTCTAAAAAAAATTTTTTTTTTAATTAAATTTAAAATCCTGTGCCTAACCGGGTAAAGTGGCTCATGCTGGTAAATCCCAGCACTTTGGAAGGCCGAGGCAGGCACATGGCTTGAGCCCAGGAGTTCAAGACCAGCCTGGGCAACATGGCAAAAACTTGTCTCTACCCAAAAAGATATAAAAACTAGCTGGGGGCAGTGATGTGAGTCTATAATGCCAGCTACTCAGGAGGCTGAGGTAGGGAGAATCACTTCAACTCGGGAGGAGGTTGCAGTGAGTGTCCAGCCTGGGCGACAGAGCAGGACCCTGTCTCAAAAGGAACAGAGAGAGAGAAAATAAAATCCTGTGTGCTGTCTAGTACGGGTAGAAATTCGCCCACTGTGGAGGCATCACTGCCTGACTGATTTGTCCTGTGATGTGTGCACCGAGGCTGAGGTCAGAGACAGTCCTAATCATTTTCAGGGCTCAGTCCCTCCCACCTGCACCCAAGCCATGCTGACTCCCCTACCTGCGAGTGTAGAGATGGTGACTCCAAGAAAAACAAAAAAGAAAGAAAGAAAAAAAGGAAAGGAAAGGACAGGACAGGAAAGGAAAGGACAGGAAAGGAAAGGAAAAAAAAAAAAAGAAAGAAAAAGAAAGAGAAAAAAAAAGAAAATGGGAAGGAAAAGGAAAAGAAAAGAAAATTCGGCCAGTCACGGTGACTCATACCTGTAATCTCAGCACTTTGGGAAGCCAAGGCAGGCGGATCACAAGGTCAGGAGTTTGAGACCATCCTGGCCAACAAGGGGAAACCTGTGTCTCCTAAAATACAAAAAATTAGCTGAGTGTGGTGGTGTGTGCCTGTAGTCCCAGCTACTCGGGAGTCCGAGGCAGGGGAATTGCTTGAACTCAGGAGGCAGAGGTTGCGGTGAGCTGAGATCATGCCACTACACTCCAGCCTGGCGACAGCAAGACTCCATCTAGAAAGACAGACAGAAAAGAAAGAAAGAAAGAAAGAGAAAGAAAGAAAGAAGGAAAGGGAGGGAGGTGGAGGAAGGAAGGAAGGAAGAAAGAAGAAAGGGAGGGAGGTGGAGGCAGGAAGGAAGAAGGAAAAAGGAAGAAGGAAGGAAGGAAGGAAGGAAAGAGGAAAGAGTGAAGGAAGGAAGGAAGGAAAAGACTGCTGGAAAACCTCCAAAGCACATCCCTGCAGGGAAGAGGCCCCTCCTCTACTCTGGACACCCGCAGCTTGCCTCGACCTTCACACCCCTCGTTCTCCAAGGTCCAGGAAACGAGGTGGGCTCAGCGCGATGGCAGTGAGGTGGTGGCACACCACGACGCCCAGCCCAGCTCCTCCGGGCAGTGGCCAGTTCAGACAAGAAAGGGGGCTGTGTGACCCTAGACCCTGCAACTAGATGTCCACACTGATGTCCCCACCAGACCCATCCTAGTGGTCGCCCAGGGCTGTCTCGGGCCTCCTCGGCGTCAGCCTGGGATGCAGTGCGGGCCCTGGAGAGAGGGGCGTGGTTGTCATGGTTTTCAGAGCTCTGCGTCCTGGCCCCGCTGTCCCGCGCATTCGAGGAGAGTCGGGGCTAATCCCACGGCTGAGACGCAAGACTCGGCGCCTCATCCCGCCAGAGGGCGCTCCAGGCCCGCACTGCCCGGGTGGGGCACGCTCGCCCGGATTCCAGCGCAGCTCACACCCCGCCTGCCCCGCATCCGGTGGGCAAGGCGCAGCTGTCTGGCCGCGCGGGTAAGAGCAATTCCAGGCTATCATCTGCACCTTGGACATTGCCAGGTGACAGGAAAGTGCGTCGAGAGCGTGGGGCGAAGCGGGCAACCCGATGCCCACGAGTGTTCCCTGCGCCCACCGAGGGCTCCGCGTACCACTGGCTGTCCAGGGGCGGTTCCCCGCGGTGCCCAGGGCACAGGTGAGCCAGGGCCAGCACCATAAGTGACTACGATGGGCTCTTTAGGGACTGCTGCCACGTTCGCACCTGCGTGCCTCGGTTTCCCCGATGGTATCTAAGAGTAGTTCAGGTGTTAAAGTGAGTGATGTTGCTGGTGGGAATGAAATGAAGGAGACCTGAGTTTCCGGTGGAGTGGGTGGACCCAGTAACTGGTTTCCAAAAACTCTGCATATTATTTCATACTCATGGAATTATATCCATCCTCCAATTCTAGACTGAACAACAATATGACCTGCGGTTAGACCTCATGGAGAACTTCCAAACTACAAAAGAGATAGAGAACAATTGCATTCTCTACAGTCCCAGAACTGTTGGGAGAGCACAGACAACAGAGGTAGCCATTGCTCTCTGGACACACCCTACCATGCACAATCCCACATTTTTCTTTTCTCACACTCCCTCCCACTTGCAAATGCAATCGATCTTCCACCTGACATTCCTGAGGACACACAGAGATTCTAAGAATCAGGGCTGCCCAACCAGCTTCTCCAAGAGGCCTCTAAAGGTGCCCTGTGGAGTGGGTGTGCAGCCCTGGGCTTTTCACAAACCTCTGAACCCACCTCCACCTCCCACAAGGCAGCGGTACATAACTGCTCTATGAGGGGCAGGGAAGAGGAATGGAGACCCCAGGTTTATCTCCTTATCATTTAAAAATGAGGGCAAGATACAGACTTTTTTAGAAAAAACCCAACAGGATTCTTCACTAGCAGATCTACACTACTTGAAATGTTAAAGAAAGTTATTCAGGCAAAAGGAAAATGACATGAGATGGAAATTTGGATCTGCACAAAGGAGCACCAAAAATTGTAAACATATAGGTAAATTCAAAACGACATTTTTACTTTTTTTTGAGACGGAGTCTTACTCTGTCACCCAGGCTGGAGAGCAGTGACGCAATCTCAGCTCACTGCAACCTCTGCCTCCCGGGTTCAAGCGATTCTCCTGCCTCAGCCTCCTGAGTAGCTGGGACTACAGGCGCCCACCACCACGTCTGGCTAATTTTTGTATTTTTAGTACAGACAGGGTTTCACCATGTTAGCCAGTCTGGTCTCGAACTCCCAGCCTCAGGTGATTCACCTGACTCGGCCTCCCAAAGTGCTGGGATTACAGGTATGAGCCACTGTGCCTGGCCCATTTTTACCTTTTTAATCTATTTAAATGATAATGGGTTCAAGCAAATATAACAGTACATCGTGCAGTTTGTAGCACATGTAGATTTAAATACATGAAAGTAATAAGATTTTCATAAAACATACAAATGGTGGAGGGAAACAGAAGTTACTAGGTAAGACTCTTACACTACATGCCACATGGTATAAAATTATTACCTCCACTGTAGAGGTAAAATGGCATCAGGTACTCAAGATCAAAGAAGGCAGGATTGTGGAGTAGTACTTCAATGAAAAAAGAGAGAGAAAAGCTAGCAAAAAATGAAAGAAAAAAAAAGCAAATGGGATAATTAAAAAGAAATAGCAAGATGATAGACTTAAACCCATCTGTATCAACATATTAAATGTAAATGGTGACCCAGCGCCATGGCTCACACCTGTAATCCCAGAACTTTAGTAGGCCAAGGAGGGCAGATCACTTGAGGTCAGGAGTTCAAGATCAGCCTAGGCAACATGGTGAAACCCTGTCTTTACTAAAAATATAAAAATTAGACATGGTGGCAGGTACCTGTAATCCCAGCTACTCAGGAGACCGAGGCATGAGAATTGCTTGAACCCAGGAAGCAGAGGTTTCAGTGAGCCAAGATTGCCCACTGTATTCCAGCCTGGGCAACAGAGTGAGACTCTGTTTCAAAAAA